GTTCGAATCCCGCACGGAACAATGTATGACCTACAAATAATTGTTCCGGGTCTGGATGTTTGTCCTCGTAAAACTTATGTATGTAAACTGCCCCACAAAAATCTTATCGTGGGGGTAACTTCTTTTAAAAACAAACAAAAATAAATTGCACGATATGATAGCTCTCACTTTCCCTTACTTTGTCGAGACCAGTTTAATGAAAGATGTCAAGAATAACAACCGTAATTTTTATCGATTTCAAACATAGAGCAACGAACCGAAGCGGAGAATCCATAAAGCTTTTCCCGATACAGAATTGTCTGTAATTTTTGCGGGGAGATACCTGCGCACATAAGATCAATCGTCTGCCACTACGAGACTCACACATAACAATAAAAACAATAGGCTAACAATTTCATACATACATAGATACATAATAATAGTATGGATCGGTGACAGTGACAACACGTATTGTCACTGTCACCAGACTCGGATCGGTCGCTCGACCCATCTACATCGACATCGACATCGACCCATTGTATGAGAGCGAGCGGCCTGTGTTCGTAAATAAATTAGTGATCGATGGTTTTAAAGAAGTAAATACCAATAATGTGATTCAAAATTACTTATATATGAAAGGTAACGCCATCTTTTTGTAAATGTGATGTGGTAGATCTTTATTTGCGCAACTAGATTTAGTGTAGTGAGCAGTGCTGCTGAACTGACCGCGTGGACTCATATTTTTACAGAGGGGATCGCTTGCGTGTGGCTACTCTCACCCGGTCGTGTTTCTCTGTAGTTTGATAATCTGAATATTTGTTTAAAATTTCTCCAGACATAATCTTTTCACAACAATAATTTACGTTAAAACTTAGTTACATATTGTTAATATATGCTACAAAAATAAGTTATCATAAAATGTACGACAGATTATAATTGTTTTAATACCCATTGGAATGTGCATATTATGTGCAAATTAAATATTGTTTGCATAATTACTATGAACATTGTTTTAAAGTCTGGCGACAACCCAACGCTAGTGCACTGACATACATAGTAATTGTTATAGAACAATGGCACAAAAACTCAATACGTGTAGTTGACTATAATCACGGTAATTTATAAATATTATTACCGTGCTATGACTTTAACATCGACTACATGCTGATTGTTATGACATCCGCACCTACGGCTTAACAAAAACACTCTAGGGGTAGGGCAGACAAGACTACGTGGAGTCGGGGCGTGCTGATTCGGTTTTAGAACAGATTCGACCAATCGTCTAATTATCCATAGTTTCGCGATATCCCTAGATTTTTGCGAAAATATTTTTTTTTATTTATTTATTTTATAGAATATGGTGACAAACGAGCACACAGTCCACCTGATGGTAAGTGGTTGCTGTGTCCCATAGACATCTACATCTGTCGTCGATTACGAAACAAAATTCAGATACGTTGTCACCCGTGAGGACTTAGGTGGAATGCCTCGTTTCCAGTAAAAAGGGTCTCCGGTTCTCTACACTCACCATACGAAACACAGAAGCATTAAGCTACTATTTCACGCTGGTATTCTGTGAAATTACGGTTTATCTAATTATCCTACGACATATGCTAAAAAATTCTGTCCGTGTGAATGTAACTGAACTTCTAAACGGTCTGGACCGATTTTGATAAAAATTTGTTTGTGTTGGTTGAATGGTTTAGATTCACAATAGAGCCCGCTAGTTGGCGCTGTTATTGAGAGCCAGAGATCGCCCGTGTGAAGCCGGGTTGGACCTCTAGTATCCATATAAAATATAAAATTTTAATTGTCTAAGCTGATTCCTGATAGAGAATAACAACTTGTTCCTCGCCAAACGAGAGGAGGATAATTATTATGTTGATTTGTAAATTTTTATGTAAGTCCGTTTCTGCTCCCATTACTCTTAAATTAGTCGTCGAAGTTCGGCAAAACATATCTTAATCGATTTTTCATAATTGGGTAGATAACACGGATTATGTCACGTTACGATTATTTGTTGTTTAATTTATTAATATTTTACAGGATAAAATTCGAGTTTGATTGTATTTCTTTGATACTAATTTCAGAGGAAATAATCCGATAAAATCTGAGATAGGTGATAGGATGATTGGATTGTGATTAATTGGAAAGGAAATCAATATATATATATATATATATATATATATATATATATATATATATATATATAATATCGATTGTTCACGTGTCGATTCCAAAATAAAAACAATGAAAACACTTGTGCTTTTTAGAAAATTGTAGGAATAATATAAATAAACGTTGTCGAAAGTTATGTATAAAAATATAAAAAGGCAAATAATATAAAACTTATACATGTTATTAAATAACAGGCAAACTTTGAGACGTTGGAAATTTGCTTAATATCATAAATTTAACTCAAAACTGTCTCGGAATTCTTCCGAGGAATTGAGAGTAGATAAGTCTGAAAAATTTAATTTTCCTGCCCGGTGTTAATAAATCTCTTAGTCGGGCCTCAGTCTCGCGTTACCCTAATGCGATATTTATCGCCCTACTAAAAGAAATAAATTTTTCGCACGTAATATATTTGTCTATAAAATAAACTAAATTATGGTTACTGAAAAAGTAATACAAAATACAATGGTAGCTTGTAATAAATTTGTTTGATTTGAAAAATAATATTTTTACTTTATCAATTATATTATAATCATTTAAAGCAGGCCACACAGGCTAGGGTGTACCTACCTGTCAGGTATGTACACCCTAGCGTGTGTGTACCACAGCTTGTATGGCCTGCTTAATTTTCGTGAAGCGTCGCCGTAATAAAATCCACTACCTCGTATTATTTCGTGAGTGTCTCTTAAGAGCCGACAGAGGGCTATTGAAACAAGAGATATGCAGCAACACCTTTCTTATAAGGGTTGAAAATAATAACAAAAAAGACTTCGATTTTTATAAAATAATGGTGACTAACGAGCATACGCGATACATTTATCCACTATTAAGATTCACAATGCAGATGCCTTTTTCACTTCACTTTCACTATACTCCACATACGAAACACAGCAGCTTTAGGCGGCTATTTAACGTTGGTATTCTGTGAGAGCGCGGTCCTGCCCCGATCAAGCCGACTCATTCGAACTACAACCATAAAGCTGCACCGTGACTCTAGCACGTTAATTGCTAATCCGACTACCAAGTGTGGCTACTATAGCAACTATCGCCCTCATCAGCCGGTCTATAGAGGAGGTCATTGTTAATCAGTGAAGTTTTGATGGACTGCAATGAGTAAAGTGAATGATGATTTGAATAAATGTTACTGTTGTTTTATTTATTAAACGTAAGCTATTGTGCAAGCTTACCCGATTCTGGTGCTGCTGCATTGGCATCCTAATGTAATATGTTAAACACTAGTCTAGGCTCCATTTAGAAAATATTTTACCCAAGGGGGTATGGACTACTTAGATAAGTTTTTATTTCATTACATATTAACCACAAACATAGTTGTAAGGTTTTTGTAACAATGCTTTAAGAAATCTACGGATCACGTCTGAGAAAAAGAATAAACTATAATAGTATTTTTTCTTCTGTGTAAGTTGAAAAATCACGTATAAAAACTTCATTGCAAAAATTGCAAAGCTACAGAATATCATGCGATATTCTGTTCGCACAATTTGTTCCACCACACATTACCGTCATCGCTTTGACACGGGTTTTCTTTAAACGAAGCATGAAAACTCGCATTACAAAGCGCATGAAGAGTCGCCTTCTCGACTCTCGTTATAAAAAAGAGGCATCAGCAAAATTTTCTTTCAGTCAATTTTCGCCAATTAAGAAAATAATTTAAAGTACGAGTGTAAATATTTCGCTGTTATACACAAAATATGTACTTAACTGCATTCTTATAAAATCAAAAGAAACCGGACTTGACTCTAAAACTTAACAACACATTCTCGTGATATACCTGTGGCCTGTTGAATAGATATTTTTCAAATAGAATGTTTTTTAATTTTTTATACATTTTATCAAAATTGATATATCAATAAATACTACTTTGAAGTAAACTTTTTACCGAGCGACGGCGACGAATGTAGGGCGCTAATTTGATTTTTTGTTCGAAATTAAAAAGTTTACTTTTAGGAAAAAAAATTGAAAAATATCTATGTCATCACATCCTATAGTCATGCCTTACGGTAAAAAGATACGGTATAAGCGATAAGCCTTTTAAATTACATAAAACATTAACATAATAAGTATATGTGATTGGCTATTTTTTGTTTTTTTTTTTTATGTTATAATATCCATGGCATATTACAAATGTTAGTTTTGAATGTAACATATAGATACGTTAATTATTCAGTAGTTGTCGTAAGAGGGACATAAGGAAGCCGTAACAGGATGTAAGCAGCAGCATTTTCCGGTTAAAACTTATTAATAATTTTAAAAAATACTGCCGTTTATAACCGGTGTGCTAAGTCTGGCAACTTTAACAAATCCACCCTATGAGACGATCTGTGGGAGAGACCTATGTTTATCAATAATTGTTTGATAGAAACCACGTGGTTTATTTTCTGCACACCACAGTCCACAGATGGTAAGTGGATGCTGTGGCCCATAGACATCCACATTTATCCTCAATTAAGGATCAAAATGAAGATGTGTTGTCATCCCTGAGGACTACGATGAAGTGCCTGGTTTCCATTAAAAATGGTCTCCTGTTCTCTACACCCATCATACAAAACACAGCAGCATTACGCTGCTATTTTACACTGGTCCACGCTCTCACAGAATGTGAGAGCGTGGTCCTTCCCCGGTTGAGCCGATCCATTCGTACTATAACTATAATATGGCTGCAGCATGGCTCTACCACGTAAAAAAATTATTTGCTTAATTCATGGGACTAATAGACATCATTTACTCATCGTTTACAAAATCCTCTTTGGCGAATGTCTTAAGGACATTTGGATTTAACAACACCACCAGATGCCCCCAAATTAAAAAAATTTATTACTTCCCAACAGGTGGCGGTAGAAGGGGAGCGACTACGTAGGTTACGCGAGCGTGTCGAAGCTCAGGAACAGAAGTTAAGGAGACTCCGGGCTCTTAGAGGCCAGCTGGACCGAAACAAGCAAGCGAATATTGCTCTTAGTAAGTATTTTCATTTCATAAGTAGCAACGAGGAAGCGATTTTGGCGTTTCTTATTCTTGTGTAAAATATGAATTAAAAGAAAACATTTGCTTATTTGCTTATCCATAAATAATATTAAAGTGACTGTCGCATTGGTCTAGTGATCGCAGATGCGACTAGTGATCATGTAGTCCTGGGTTAGAATCACGGGTTGGGCTAAAATCAGTTATTGGATTTTTCGTTAAGAAATTCTCCGTAGCAGCCCGGAGTCAGAAATTTGTGGTGTTCCATCTCTGTGCCTCAGAGAGCACGTAAAGCCGTTGACCCTGCGCCTGATTTCTCTCTGGTCGTGACGAATTGCCAACCCATTGGACTATGAGAATTAATGAATGAAAAGTGCGCCTGTGATTACGTACACTATGATGCACAGTAATCCTGTCTTGCGATGGCTAGTCTTCGTTTAGACTGGGTGCCGTGGCTGAAATTAGATCTGAAGGACATTATTATCATTGTTTATTACTAGCTACTCGCTACGGCTTCGCCTAGATAGGATATATTAAGGTGACGTTATTTGGATTTTAAGTTATCAAAGACCATTTATTACACAAATTCGTCTTTTTTCAAAAAAAAAAACTCAAATTTTTCGGATAAAACGCCTAGATCGCCTAGATCACTCCTGACATTGCTTCCTATCTGCTCAGTTTCAGCACAATCAGTTCAACTATATCGGATATTAGTCCGCACAGACAGACAGATAGACATTTTTTAAAACGGTTGTTTATATCTAAATTGTTTATATCTGCTTAATAAAAATCCGTAATTTTAATATGTTTTTTTTATAAAATAAGGTGACAAATGAGCACACAGTCAACCTGATTGTAAGTGGATACTGTGCCCCATAGACATCTATATTTATCCTCGATTAAGGATCAAAACGCAGATGCGTTGTCACTCCTGAGGGCTAAGATGAAATGCCTCGTTTCCAGTAAAAAAGGGTCTCCTGATCTCTACACTCACCATACGAGACACAGTAGTATTAAGCTGTTATTTTACGCTGGTGTTCTGTGAGAGCGTATATTGAGCACGATATTAGTGACAGACACTTCAATGTTATGTATATGTGTAAATTAAATATATAATTAAAAAGTTAAAGGGTTCATTTGCAACAAATTGAATTCGTACAATGAAAAAATTCCACCCATAAATAAATATAATTGATTAAAATTCACATCCTGTGCACGTTTTAACTTTTTATTGCGTTCTCGTACATATGTACTTCTCGACCAAACTCTCCACTGTATCATAACAAGCGTAATACTTGTTTCAACATTTCATTCAACATGCAACTATTAAAGCAAATACTGAAATGCAGCATGTGCAACCTATTTTTTCTATCTGTCAATTAAATTCCAAAATAAACAATTTTATTACCTATATTTTTAATAGAATAAGCGTAATAAATAAACACACAGTCCATCTGCTGGTGTGTGCTGTAGCCCATACACATTTTTTTTAAAGAATGAGGTTGACAAACGATCACACAGTTTACTTGAATTTTCTGATATAAGTAGTAAGTGGAAGAATACGTTATTTTAAGTTCTTTAATAAAAAATAAAAAACTTTTTAGTAAAAACTTTAATTTTTTTAATCACCGTAGAAAATTAGTATGATAAAAAAGCTTCGTTTCTTCTTATAAAACTATTTTAATTAAAATTCGATAATCTTATAAAATCTAATTATTAATAATCGGTGTTGCGACTTCTTAAATTAATTACACATCGACATCGATTATTCAACGGTGATTAAAAATTACATGTTTATATAAAACAACAAAATTACGAAATGTTTTTTTATTTTTTATTAAAGATTTTAAATTTACCTACAGTTCTTCCATTTACAATACCAGAAAATTCTTCATAGATTTTTAGATAAAGTAAAGTAAAGTAAAGTTACAGCCTATATACGTCCCACTGCTGAGCACAGGCCTCACCTCATTTCTGAGAGGGTTTTAGGGCAAGGAAGTGTCCGCCGCGCTGCCCCATTGCGTGTTGGCGAACTTCACATGTCTTCGAAATATTTTTTCTTTTTCCTCAGACATGCAGATTTCCTCACGATGTTTTACTTCACCGCCGAGCACGTGGTACTTAAAATTGCAATTAAAAATTTCATTGGTGTCGGCGGGTATCGATCCTGGGTTACTCGCGTTTTGTTATATTTACAGCGAGCGTTAAGGGGATATAGTAAGTCAGCTCAAATTCTAATTTCGCCCCCACTTGCCCGCGCGTCGTATTCTATGTACCGACATGTTTGTAATCACTAATACTGTAAGTAGATAGGTCGTTAGACACTTATTTCATTAGGTTTATCATATTTATGCCTGTTTCTTAACGCCAAGCCAGTCGCTTTTTATTTTTATTACGGTTATTTCCCATTTTAATTTTACGTCGTCCTGTTGCGTAATGTGTATTCTGATCGTAAGCGACACAACCTCTCCCTTCAAAGTCCGAAGCGAAACTGACCGGGCGGCAGGAATCACGCTTCAAGAGGCCGATAGTTTAGGTAATTTCTTTTTACAGTGAAAATAGTGGTTTTTTAAAAAAATTAAATAACATAAGCACTGCTTTATAGTCAGTTCAGTTAGTATGCAAAGTTTCATGATCTTATTTAAAGTATTTTATGAATAACAGCGGTTTATTGTTTATTTTGGAGGTAACTTTGGATTTTTTTTCTATCGAGAAAATTTTACGGAATCGTGTTTTCGTCTAACATAATCCTTAACATTAATCCTCAACTTTACCATATATTTATATCAAAATTAATGCTGCAATATTTTCGGCATAACGGAGGATCTTGCTAAGCCATTTGAGGTTATATTTCCCCTTAACCATCTGAGCTACCACGGCTCATAGGCAAGAAAAGCCTCATAAAATTATACGACTTTTAAGATATATAAAAAAAATGTTGGTTCCGAACGCGTTTAAATTAAAATTTCTTTGTGTTTTACTAACAAAGTTAAACAGATTAGAATTTAAACAACTTGGTTTCATTACAATATCATAAAATATTCAGTGAAGAAAGGCTAAATACAAGCATTGAACCTAAGGTTCGGAACTTTATTAAAGAAAAAGTTGCGCTTCTGACACATTTAACATTTGTACGTAGTTGTTTCGCTTACGACACCCTGAAAAAGTTGGGCAAAACAGTTATTATTATTTTAAACTCATAACTTGTGGCAAATAAAATCGTAGCACGGCCTTTTTTAACCGACTTCGATAAAAGAGGCGGTTCTCAATTCAAATGTCGATATTTTATACGTATGTTCGGGCGTAACTCTGTCATGTATAGACGGATTTACCGAATTTTTTTGTTCGTAAGAGGTTAAATTTCTTAAAGATTTGATAGTGAGTTTCGGAGACAGACAACGGAACTCTTCAATAAATGCCAGCAAATCAACCGCGATTACTGCTTAAGCAATCAAACAACATAACATCACGTATGTACCCTCTAAAGATGTATTCAGTATACCACGGTTCACCCTTATTTCTGTCAAAGTTGTTATTGGAGTACCTCTAATCTTACAAGTCAATTTGGGCACGACTTTTTTGTTTGTCTTTATGAATTGATTTAATTCATATTGAAGTCGGTTGTACAAAATTTTCTATTTTACCAATTCTATTCATTTTAATAATATTCAGTTTATACGTAAACATAATTTCGAGTTCTAAGTAAACATACTGTTGTTCATAATGACTTTAGTTTACCGAAAGTCAAAGTAAACGGACGCCATTTGGCAGGAAATTTGTCGACGTTAATCGGATAATTAACGCTAGTGCGCCCTGAGGGCCAGCTGCAGATTAGCTATTGAGTTTTGTATCAAATACATATAATATTACCTCGTTAAGTTTTACAACACGATATCAGACATTTTTATAGAAGTAACAGTAACAAACGAAAAAAAACGAGCATTACGTATTTTCACTTTGACTTTAGCATATTTTATTAAGATTACCCCCTAAGGGGGTAATCTGTGGCTGATAGGTATCTCCCACGGATTGACTCGTTTATTTATTAATTATCTACAGCCTATATAGGGGGGAACTTGCCATAGTTGCTGAGCATTGTTGTTATCAAGAAGATACTGTTGCCCGGCTTCTGTTTCATTTTCCCTCTGTAGCCACGAGACCATGGGATGATATGAATCAGTGGATTCTCCATCGCCGTCTCTACATGCGTCTGGTAATGAATGAATAACACGATTAAAACCAAAGTAATGACGATTAGAGCCCAAATACCTATAATTATAAACAACATTCTATTAAAATATGTTGGCAAATATGTATATCTCGGTAAACGAAACTACTACAAACGTTTGACGAAATCCAAAGAAGAATTATAACAAGTTGGGGCAAATTCTAGATTGAAAATTGACACTACCTATACATCTCAAAAAGAAGATAATACATTGTCTACTTATATATGTGGGGAATATGAGTATATCTTCCATATTTTAGAATAATACATAGTAAGTTAACCTATTTTGTTATGTAACACGTTTTTTTTATAGAATATGGTATTTTTATGTGGTAGAGCCATGCTGCAGTTATATTAGTAGTATAGTTGTAGCACGAATGGGTCGGCTCGACCGGGGAAGGACCACGTTCTCACAGAATACCAGCGTGAAATAGTAGCTTAATGCTGCTGTATTTCGTATGGTGAGTGTAGAGAACCGGAGACTCTTTTTACTGGAAACGAGGCATTCCATCTCAGTCCTCACGGGTGACAACGCATCTGCATTTTGATTTTTAATGGAGGATAGATGTAGATGTCTATGGGCCGCAGCAACCACTTACCGTCAGGTGGACTGTGTGCTCGTTTGTCACCCTATTCATATAAAATAATATGGGTGACAAACGAGCAAATAGTCCACCTGGTAGTAAGTGGATGCTTTGGTCCATAGACATCTTCATTTATCCTCGACTAACAATCAAAACGCAGATGCGTTGTGACCTTGAGGACTAAG